TTTGTATTACCAAGACACCAGAGCTGTTCATCTTCTGTCTCTTCATCTCCAGTGTTGCAGCATCTCCTGCCTCGCACCTGTCATCACCGTTTCTAATCCTTACCACCAAGGCAAGATCTCTGCCACTTTTTTCACTTTATTTGTTTCCTTTCTTCTCTCTGTCACTTCACAACTTTAGTACAAAAAGGATGTCCTTTTCTGCACACCAAGTAACAGCATGCTCCTTTTGTGTTATGGGCAAAGTGCACAATTCCAGGGCATCAGATGTAATCTCCAGGCTTCCACTCCTCTGGTTCCTTGATGGCTTTGATGTAGAACCTGAACATCTTCAGGATACAGAAAAGGGATTGAGTGTGTTGGGACTTGGGGTGGATTTGCAGACCCACACAGTATATGGTGCGAACTTTTCTTTATTCATATCTAGGCCTCTCTGGAACAAGCACATAATAAACAAATCCAATGTGTTGCTGGTTACTCAGGAGCTACTTTTTTTATTATCAAAGTTGCTTTCTTTTGTTATTTTCTTCTAGCTACTTTTGAATATAAAGTCATTCTGGAAGTCTAAATATTGCTGAAATATGGGTTCAAATGGACACAGTTTTACTGTGTTAGCTTTTGTCATATCCAATCAACATCTCCACCTGCATCTCCTCCCAAAAATGTACAGGCAAAGAAAGCCAGTTTCTACAGTCTTTAGGCATAAGTCTTTGGGTTCAAGTAGAATCATAGGGGTAGACCTTCTCCTTTTCAACTTTCATCCCAAGATCAACTGTCTGATACCATTTGAAAATCTCCCTTTATCCTCTTCTACAGCCATAGTGAGCTGGTTTCATAGTGATTATGTACAGAAATCTGGAAGACACTACTCAGTCATAAGTTCAGGATTTGTTGTGTATGTCAATGAAAAGGTATATATTTTATGTCATCTGTCACCTGCATATACTTCTGGAAAATAAACTTTGATATGCAGGCATCTACTTTGCCATGGACTAGGGTAGACAATATAGGGAAGATTCCCTAAAACAATTGTTTCATTCATTCATTTAAAAACCATTTTTAAGCACCTACCATGTGCACAACATTACGCTAGGAACTGGGGAAGAGGCAGAGGCAAAGATAAGACATAATTCTTCCTCCCAAACCCCTCATTATGTTACTCAATTGCTTCTTACCCCTGCCATGAAGACTATAAAAAAGTTAGACAGGAAATAGACATTTGGATAGTGACTAGTGAATTCAAATAAGAAAACTGATGTTTTAAGACTTTTTCAGTTTTATTAAATGATAATAAAAAGACAAGCTTATACAGTTATTTACGGTTAAAGAAATGCTTTTATTTCAGCAACCCTGAAATAAGACATTATTACTCTCATGTTAAAAATGATGAAACTAAGTCAGAGAGAAGTTAAGTGACTCATCTCTGGTCACACAGTTACAGTAAAGTAGCAGAGTCAGAATTTGACCCAGGTCTCCTGACTAAATCTATGGTTCTTTCTACCATGTCCCTTTCTACTCTATCGTACTAGCAAATATCAACTCACTGGAATTTTGCAGGGTTGACACCATTCTGCTACTTGGGGGTGGGGGGAAGGAGGAAGGGAGGAGTTGAGAGCAGAGCCTGGAAAAGCCAGGAGTCAAAGGACTCTGCATTAAAACTGTTCTCAGTCCTAACATAACACCTCTTAATCATCTCATTATATGCTTGTCTTGTAGGGGCCTGGAAATCAATAAAAGAAAGTTCAAACAATATACTGTGTGAATCTACAAATCTGTCTTCCAACTCCTTTTTCTGTACCCTGTGGACTTCTCTTGCATCAAGCTCAAGACACCAGGATCCACAAAACTGTCTTTTATTCCAGATTATTTTTGCAGTGTTCTGCCAACAATTGGCATGTCTTTAAAGGAAAAAGCAAAAAGGTAGCAAAGATACATCCGTAAGGCAAAGGAAGGCAGGTGGCAAAGAGGAGGAGAACATAAATCAAAGCCAAGTGGAAGCCTGCCAGCAACCCAGAAATCAAATTGTGTCAAAGAGAAGGTTTGTGCAGGAAAAAAATAGATTAATAGGACAATGAATGGGTGAGAGGAATGACAAGAAGTCTCAACAAGAATTAATGAGAGGTGGAGGAGGCTTCCAGAAGTGCCTCAAATGAAAAGGGCCAAGTTATTGCTTTGGGCTGGACTAACATTATAACAAGTTATATCGACATTTGCCTGAATAATGCAACACTATCTACCTAGATGGTCTTTTTTTCTACCCTAGTCACTTTGGGGGGTGCGGCTAAACAAAATCTAAAAGAAATGGGGTACAAGCTCTTGTATATTCAAGGGGCCTATTTCAGAGTCTGGAAAGTGTCTCCTTATTATCTAACACTTAGCAGCAAATGCTCCCTAAATATATAGTGATGGTAAGCATAACCACAGAGGCAGCTAGATAGCTCAGTGGATAGGGCACTAGGCCTGGAGTCAGGAAGACCTGAGTTCAAATTTGGCTTCAGACACTTACTAGTTGTGTGACCCTGGGCAAGTCACTTAATCTCTGTTTGCCTTGATCCACTGGAGAAAGAAATGGCAAACCAGGACAGTATCTTTTCCAAGAAAATTCCACAGACAGTATTGGTATGCTATACTCTACAGGGTCACAAAGAGTCAGACACAACTGAACAACAACAAAGCATTACCACAGTTATGCTAAAAAGTGAAATCAGAGCTCAAAGAAGAGTCTGAAGCACAGCATTTGTATCACAGCCTGTTGGGTCCCAAGATGATAGAGACAGGTGCTGAAACATGACTGTATGTGTATGGTCTGTGATGAACTTTTGTGTCTCTATCAGTGGTGAACATCTGCATCAACAAAGGACAGGCAGTAGTGCATCTTTGATAGCAGTATAACTTGAGGATGGACTGTTGTTAATAATCATAAATGTTTGACTATGAGTCAGAAGATGAGTCAAATTCTGACTTTGCCACTTACTATGATTGTGACCCAGGGGAGGTGACTTAACCTTTTTGGGTTAAGTCACCTGCCCAGGCCTCCTCAGCTTCAGTTTCCTCATCTGTAAAATAAAATAATTAGTCTCAATGACCTCCAGCTCTAAGTCTATTATCCTATGGTACTGAAGTACTTTCAGCTGTATCATTGCAACCACATTGCTGTATCTGGATGTGTTTAGTTTAAAATGTACATAATTGTTTCTTTAAAAATTATATCTGCATAACTATTTGATCATACCTAAACCTAGAATTTTAATCACATCATTCTTCATATTCTGTTGCACTTTATACAATAAATGATCATTAATGACTATAACAACATAACCTGAAAAAAGGAAAAACAAGAAAACTTTCTTAAATGAGAAAGAAGCAATAAGGTATGGTTATCTTAAACTATATTCCAACTTTGTCCTTTCTTTCTTAGATACTTTCTTTCCCTGACTAAAAGGTTCTCATTTCACTAAATATACAACAAGCATTTATATGCTAGATACTGTACTAAGTGCTGGGCAGAGGAAACCAAAATTAATAGCCAATGCTTTTAAAGATCTCACATTCTAATGGACTTCAGTTAATACCTTTAGTAGGCTTTCCTAGTGCACTTCCAATGTCTTTCCAATTACAGGGAGATTATCCACATTTCTATGAACTGTTGAAAAATGCCAGTGGCCTCAGACCGTTGGAGATTATAGAATCCTATACTTTTGTTATGTGACTTCCTCAGGGTCACACAGCTAGCAAGTGTCTGAGGTAATATTTGAACTCAGGTCTGTCTGACTCCAGGCCCTTACTATATAATCATAATGACAAACTTGGCCATGAAACAGACGAGAAAAGGCACCTCCTTCCCTTCTTTATAGGGGAAGAGGATTCTGGATGTAGAAGACTAAATATACTCTCAGACCAGATTGATGTGCTGGTTGGTTTTGCTGAACTACTTTTCCCTTCCTTTTTAATTCTTTTGTTACAAGGGATGGCTTTTCAGATAAAGGAAAAGGAAGGCATAACTTTCGGAAATTAAAGGGATATTAAAACAATATCAATAAAAAATTTCGACTTTCTATGTGCTAAAAGTTTAAATTTCATTCACTGACCCAGCCATCCAGACATTCTTTCGTTTGTTCATTTAACAATATTAAAACCGTCTTGGGGATGATAAATCCTCTTTAGAATTTAAGCTCTTTAAGAGTAAAGACACATGCACACAACGCTTTATATCAGACAGTGACCTTGGAGACTCAAGAGCATTCAAAATAAATCAACGAAGATAAATTTGTACCAAGCTTCTGCAGTGTGCCTGTTACTAAGCCAGACCGATTCAACCTTCTCTGGGGTACATCTGTTGGCACCCACAAGGCTTTCAAACTAAGTGAATGTGAGAAAAATAAAATGTTGTTCTATTTGTGCTATATTTTCACATGTAGACGACCTTGGAGCTACCGCAGGGTGGATTTTGCGGTGGGTGAGAAGAGAACAATTTTGTAGGGCCCGGTGGGTGTCCATACCTCAGTTCCATTTACTCACTGATGATTTTTCTCTCTCACTCAGATCAGTGCTTGGCTTGCTGGAATTGCAATCCTCAGGCAATCACTTTGTTACTCAGAAAGAAGAGGGGCGGGGTTGGGAGGGAGATGCAACCAATATGCACCCCATCCCCCCCAAACAATCCAAGCCAAACCAAACATCGACCACAAATCAGACAGAAACTACCAGATTTAAGATCTGGTTCCCTTTTTTTTTTTCCCTCTCGCTCTCGTTTGGTTGGGGGAGGAGTGGTGCCCTAGGCACAGGGAGACCGAGAAACATCAGGCAAATAGACTTTCTTTTGCGGTGCCCGGGGGTCGAGAGGAAGGCCGTTAGGGGCGCACCGCTCCTTCCCGGCCCATCTAGCCTGGGCGGAGAGAGCGCCGGCCCTTTAGGCCTCCCCCAGGTCTTGCTCGCAGGCTGTCGCCCGGGGGTTAGAGGCCGTCCCTGCCCCCTGGCACCGCTGCAGAGAGGATCTGGTCGCCTAGGCGTCAGCAGCGAGCCCAGCTGGTCTACACGCCTCTCCCGCCGCCGTGCTCTCCAGTTCAATGGCCGCCGCTATTGGCCTGCTAGCCGCTGGGGCCCGAGGGCCCAGCCGCCTCCTGCGCTGCGGGCGGGCTCTGCTCGCCTCCAGCACCTGCAGCCGCGGAGCGGCCGGGGCCAGGCAGCCTCAGACCGAACAGCAGCTCACCGTCTGCCGGCAGCTGGATGGCATCAGGTCAGGCTCCGCGGGGCCCGCACAGAGCCTTTCCCCAGACAGTCCCTAGCTTTCATTGGTGTCCTGGGCACAAAGGCGGTCGCAGGGAGCAGCTACCTCTGGGCACCAGGAGTTTATGCGTTCTCGTTTGGGTGGGGGCCTCTAGGAGCTCTTTGCCCCCTACCACAGAAGGCTGGGCGGCAGAGTGGGCCAAAGGCCAGATAAGATAGGGTGGGGGAGGGGGAAGACACAAAAAGAGGCGAGCTTTGCTAGAAGGGTTGTTGAGCCTAGGGTTCCTCATTCAATTCACTCCATTTCCGGAATGGAAATGGGGCAACTGTGATAATAATATACGTAAAGAGATTTGCAAACCTCAAAAAAAAAAAGTATATAAACATTAGCCATTATCATTATTATTTGCCCCCACCAATATATCCTGGGGGCTACACATTTAGGCATCTGTCTAGCCCATGGTGTGTAATGGCTTTGGCAAGTACTATCTAGAGAGCTGGAAGGGAAGTTTAAGGAGGCAGTTTTCACCCATTCACTGCCTCCCGCGCAGGAGAGGCCTTGAACTTTTTTTGTTACATGCTAGAGGGATTTAAGGGAGGGCGGTTCAGTTAGTCCCAAATACCTCGAATATCTATGGCCACATTTAAAAAAAAAAAGAAAAGAAAACACATACCAAAAAAACAAACCAAAACAAAATCTAGACCTTACTAGTAGGTGCTTCCTGGCCCATTTAAGCAACTATGGAAGTGCTCTCAGAGGGAGGCCTGTGACTTTTCAGGAAGTCCTTCAAAACAATGTTACTTGTGTCAAACAGCTTGGTACAGTGTGTTCAGTAGTATCAACAGATCAATGTCGGGTGTATGCCCTTTACCAAGGATACATTCCCTGTGTGGTGGTAATTAACAGGATAGAATACATACAGAATAGAACTCAATTCTTGTCCCCTTCACCTCCTACCCCATAACCCTTTTAAAGAACTCTTTTCCTTTAAGGAGCTTACAGGTACACCTTTGCACCAGCACATAATAAACACACCAGTCAGTCAGCCAACAAGCATTTATTAAAACCTACCATGTGCCAGGCACTGTGCTAAGCATTGAGGATACAAAGAAAAGGGAAGGAAAGACCAGTCCCTACTCCCAAGAAGGAGCTAGGTGGTGCAGTGGATAGAACACCAGGCTTAGAATCAGGAAGAGCTGAGTTCAGATCTGTTTTCAGACATTTACTATGTGACTCTAGGAAAGTCACATAAACCTGTTTGCTTCTGTTTTCCTCATCTGTAAAATGAGCTGGAGAAGGAAAGGGCAAACCACTCCAGTGTCTTTGCCAAGAAAACCCCAGATGAGGTCATGAAGAGTTAGACAAGACTGAAAACAACTAAACAACTAAACAATAACTCTCAGGGGCCAGAAGTGTAATAGGGAATAAAACATTAAAACAACTATGCACAAACAAGATACATGATAAATTGGAGATTATTTCTAGGGAAAGGCATTAATGAGATTGGCAAAGCCATCTTGAAGAAGGTGGGATTTTAGAATCTTGAAAAAAGTCCTTCCTCCCAAACATGCCCCTTTGCCCAATTAGTCAGGGTTCCCCAATCTTCCCAGTATTGGGGACACCAGGATGTGGTTCACTAACCAAGATATTTATCTCAACAGAAATGGTTGCATGTAATTCCTTTAAAAGGCACAAAATCTGAGGAACTAATATGTAATGTAAAAGGGAATGGATTTTAACTCCTCCACGCAGAATATCTCTACTCCCTCTGTGTATTCAATAGTTTGAATCCCTGCCATACTTACAAAAGATCATAAGCTTGATTCCTGGTATGGCATCTGGGTGGCAACAAAATGATTGGGTCAAAGGCTGTAACCCTGGGAGACCCACAAATGGACTGGAACATTTTTCTCTTCCATTATACAACTTGTACATCATAAAAAAAAAATCTAGTTTCCTATATAGAAACTCAGTCCCCAACCACATCACTAGAATGTATGTGTCTGTTCCTAGCAACCAGGTCTGCGCACCATGGGAGTAACACCCCATGTGTACTTGCCTTCCTTTTGGCAATATACCAGTTAAGGTATTTTGTGAATCTATGGAAGTGTTGTCACTGGTTTCACCATGTTTTCTACTAATGTATTGGATTGTAATTTATTGATTGTGGCTTTAGGATTGTCAAGTGTTTTCGACTGCATGTTTTAAAGGAGAAGTTGCATAATAGAAAAATGAAGGCCAGAGTAATTTTCATTTATAAGAAAGCAGTAGGAAGTATAGAAGGAGACCTTTCCTGGTCTCTCTCTCTCTCTCTCTCTCTCTCTCTCACACACACACACACACACACACACACACAGTACTTTCCTTCTGAGATTACCTCCCATTTACACTGTATACATTTTGTGTGTATGTATATTGTATATATGTACATAGTTGTTGGTATGTTGTCTTCTCTAATTATTATGTGAGCTCCCTTAGACCAGGGACTGTATTTGTGCCTTTCTTTGTTCCCCTAATGCTTAGCACAGTGCCTGGCACACAGTAAGTGCTTAATAAATGATGACTGACTGATGAACTCAAAAGCTCTGGATTTGGAGTCCAGGAGAGACTTGGGTGAGAATCCTGACTCTGACAGCTATGTGAACATAGACAATTCATTTAACCTCTTGTCCTCAGTGTTTACATCTGTAAAGAGGGAGACTAATGTAGCACTTACTTCATAGGTTTTCATGAGGATTAAAGGAGAATTATGTGTGGAAAACATTTTGCAAAGGCTTGCAGCACAGGGCCTGACACATAGCACGTTGTAAAAGTTTATTGATTGATTATAGAAATGTTATCTATAATAATAATGGGCATCTAAGTGGTACTGTGCATAGAGTGCTGGGCCTGGAGTCAGGAAGATTTAACTTCCTGAGCTCAAATCTGGTCTCTGACACATAACTAGCTATGTGACCCTGGGCAAGTCACTTAACCCTGTTTGCCTCAGTTTCCTCATCTGTAAAATGAGCTAGAGAGAGAAATGTTGCTATATCTTTGCCAAGAAAACTCCAGATGGCATCAGGAAAAGTTGGACACCACTAAACAATAAAAATAATGATGATGATGATGATGGTTAATAAATATAGTAGATAAATCAGAATTCCATTCATTTGGGAAGACATTATTAGTAGCTATTTTTTAATATTAATGTTTTGTTTATTTCCTCTTAATTTTTGGAAACTGTTGAGCACGCATCCAATAAGAAACACTACAAGCAATAAGCTAAATATATATATGTATATATATACATATATATGTAAATCAATAAACACTTTTTTCACTGAATATTTTCAAAAGAATGAAAAGACTTGGTCAAGAACTGAAGAAGAGGCAGCCATTGTACCTGTTAACTTCCAGCCACTACAACACTTAATCTCTCTCACTTTTGTTTCTTTATGAAATTTAAATAGGTGTTGATGAGGAGGGTTATACTAGTTGATTTCTGAGGTGTGGTCCAGCCCTAAGCCTCTATGATGCTATAAACCATTAAAATCTAATCACCATGTTTGGAATAACTTAGTTTAAAAAAAAAACTAACAAAAAGCAGGGTCCGCTAGGTGGCGCTGGTCCTGAAGTCAAGAAGACCTGAGTTTAAATCCAGCCTCAGACACTTGACACTTACTAGCTGTGTGACCCTGGGCAAGTCACTTAAGCCTAGCCAAAAACAAACAACACAATGCCTAAGTAGTCACAAAAACTAGTTTGTTATTCCTAAGTCAACAAGTATTCTTCGTTGTCGTTTAGTCGTTTTTTAGTTGTGTCCAACTCTTCAGGGTTTTCTTGGCAAAGATACTAGAGGAGTTTGTCATTTCCCTCTCCAGCTTATTTTACAGATATGGAAACTTATCTGTAATGAGGCAAACAGGGTTAAGTGACCTGCCCAGGGTCACACAGCTAGTAAGTATCTAAGGCCAGATCTGAACTCAGGAAGCTGAGTCTTCCTGACTCCAGGCCTGGCGCTCTATTTACTGAGCCACCTAAGTATTCCTTAATGTAAGTAAGGTGAATTTTAATGTGTGTAAGGAGGATTTTGTTATTCTTTTTAGATAATAGGGCCAGGATCCTAGATAATATTTCCCACGAATTATGGTTGAAAACATCTCCACCACACTTGCATGGTGAGATATAGGGATGACATAATGTTTGCCTGTGCTGTGCTAGGTCATGATGATATTGCTAAAGTTAACCTGTGAGCTTAATGTTGGCAAGATGCATTCTTTGTCTGTTGCCCTATAAAGCAAGTGAGCACTGGTCAGTGAGCGGGGGAACCCATTTTGGGATTTGGCTAATGTGTAGAGGAATGCATGTACCTGCCTTGATTGGCCCCCATCGAGGTTTGGGGGGGATCTGTGTGCTTGCCTTAACTGGCCCCCATTGAGGTTTGAGGGAATTTAGGGGAGTACACAAGTTGTGCTTGTCTCGATTGACCCCATTGACCCCATCTAGACAGAGGGATAGTTGCCCCCCCTTCACGCCAACCCCTTCGAGCAGGGTTGTTAGGGAATACTGTAGGAGTTGGTGCTCCCATTATCAGCAAACTCTTTTGAGAAGACTAGACTAGAATAAAATAAACTTATTTAACCCCTTCGAAACTGTCTTCCTATCTGACCGGATCAAAAGTGAACCTGTGCTAAAACACCTATTAGTGTTAGGAGCCCTCCTGTGTTCTCCTGCCCAACAGAAGGTGTTACCTGCGAAACACTTAAGTACCTACAGTGTGGTCAGTACTGATTTCTAAGCTCTACATGATTTTAGACAAAATAGTAAACCACTGTTTGTCAGTTTCCTTTCTTCTTGTAAGATGGAAATATCAGCCCTCTTTTGATAATGCTACTTCAACCACATAAGACTTCTTAACTTCAACATGAATGTGAGAAAACTGGGAGATGATAAACCAAGAACAATCATGCTATCTATACTATAAATGACTAAAGTAACGTACAATGCTCTTTTTTTGTCTCTTGCATGGCTTTCAGAATTCAGGTGAAAGTGGCAACTAACAGAAAGCAGAGTTTTCTTCTATATGTAACAGGTTTTCTCCAGCAGTCACTGAGATAGATAGGCCTTTTCCCTATCCTGGTTCCTGGTAATAAAGAACTTTACAGGCTTCATTGGAACAGAAGTTTCCTCTTACGAACAGTGCCATCGAGACTGCCTCCATATTGATCATCTGCTAAATACTACAGAATTTCATGCCTTACTCTTTAAAAAAAAAAAAAAAAGACCAGACTCTAGTCCAGAACAGGCTGAGAGTTAAAATAATTCACCAGCCAAAATGCTAGTAGGACAGGCATTTATAGTTACTACCAGCTAGGCTCTAGAGTGCTTGGAATCTCCTGGGTGGGAAGGGGTGGGGTGGGGGTGGGGAGGAGGTTACTGCAGCATTGTGCCTATTATACGAGTTTTAGGGGACTTGGATCCTTTCCAAAATTTTGCTTTGAACCTTGAAATTTACTTTAAGCTTATCCCTTTGACAGGGTAGTAGCCTTTATGATGTTCCCTGAAGCAAGAGTACTTTTCCCCCCAATGGAAATGTTTATAAGCAGCATCATGATACAGTGGAGGAAAGTGCTGGATTTGGAGACAGAGGACTGGAGGTCAAATGCTATTTCTGCCATTGGGGGGAAAAAAACAGTTTAGCTCTCTGGGTTTCATTTTCTTTACTTTTAAAATAAGGGAGTTGTACTAGATGACCCTTGAGATCCCTTTCCGTTCTAAGCTTGTAATCCTATGGCAGTTCTCTTGGCTCTCCCAAATAGAAATTTTGAGCTGAACTAGCTTAACACACACAGCAACTTTTATACTTGTAAGTAAATAATGTTTATGGAAAACAAAAGAATGAACATCGAATGCGTTTGAAGAGAACCACAAAATTGAAATGACATCCTGGAACTACCCAAGAATCATTATTATTCTGATTGAACTGGGATTAATTCAGTCACCAATTGGGACCATAGCAAGGGATGTTATTTATGGAGGGACCAAATTGCCCTACATTGCAGTGAGGAATATGAAATCCATCAAAGAAAGGAAAAAGTAGTAATAAAAAAAGCTAGGTGGAGAGTGACAGGAGGCCCATGTCAAATATAAAACAGTGAAATTGCATTTGACTCGTTGCTGATTTCTGTCCTGTTTTTATGACAGTGATAATAATCCATTTCTACATATAGACAACAGGATGATGATCAACTTTATTAGAGTCAGCACATAGGGTATCATGAAACAGTGATCAGGCAACTTTGTGTGTACAAAGGCATTTTGTAAGATGGTTTTATCTCTGAATATAAATTTTGTCCTTTTGTTCTCACACATTAGCAGAATTCTGCTGAATTATAGGACTTTATGAAAAGGGAGATGAGAAATGCTGTCACATAGACATCCTGACAAACGTGCCAGTTTCTGTTTTCCCCTAGAATGGGTGATAGGAGCTCAGGGGAGGGAGAGGAGGAGTAGTGGTCATATTTGACTCTTTTCCTAACCTAATTCTGAAAAAAACAGCTGGAAGGAATCAGGTGAAGTAGCTGCTGTTTTGTCAGATTCTTTCTGGCTCCTGCCGCTGTCATGCAAAACTTGGAGCTTGTCAGCAGAGGACAATGATTTTGAAACTACTGTGCCTTGTCCTTTCCATGGAGGTGACAGTAATGTTTCTGACAGGAAGCCCAGAGAAAAAGAGAAACAAATCAAGAGAGGCAGATAAACCCAACCCTACCTTTCAAGTATTCTTTTCCTTGTTTTGTCTTGAGTTGTGGCTCCAGCAAGTTGACAGCTACTGTAAATTGCAGAAACTAAGCAGTACCGTATTAGTTTTTTTCCTTTAAAAAAAAATTCCCAAATTAGAAAGGAAATTGGAGGGGTTCTAACTTGTTTTGAAGGATACATGACCTAGTAATTATAAAATGTTCTTCACAGGACCATTATCTTGAATAATCCAAAGAGAAGAAATGCTCTGTCATTACGTATGCTGAAATCTCTCCAAAATGACATTCTCCATGAAGCTGAAAGCAAAGATCTAAGAGTCATTATCATTTCAGGTATTTTCTTAATAATAAGAGTTTGGTCTTGAGAGTATATTTACCTATCCCAGTGCTCTACTTGTTTCAGGAAAGATTTATCTCACTTTGGAAGTTAACCTGGCAATTCTCTCATATTTAGATGGAGAATTTTTAAATGCTGTTTTCTAGATGTGCAAAATGGTAATGTGATTGGGACATTGGCAAAATTGCTATCCTGTGGTATAGATTACAGCATCATTAATAATGAGCGTTGATCAATAAGAACATTTCTTTTCCTTCTTCTTAGTGTTGGATGGTGTACATTGCCAGTTTCAGTAATAATGATCTCCTACTCAAATTTCAATAGTTGGTTCTTGGGCACCTTCGAAAATTCCATTCATTTCTCCCATTGCCTCTGCAAAAAAAAAAAAAAATGCTTTTTTTGGATGACTTTTTGTATACCCTAAGTTTTGTTTTGTATCAACAGTTAGCCACCAATCTTTATTTGAAGAATGCTAAGTAACTAGGGGATTTGTTTGGCATGGTATTGTTAGTGGTGGAAAGAGAATTTGCCATTGGAACTAGGTTCTCTCATCCTAGCTTTGTCACTTAGAGCAATTCACCCCAAAACTCTGATACATCAGATGGCTTGCTGTCTTGGGAAAGGGGGTGGGAGGTAGGGAGGGAGGAAAATATTTGGAACTCAAAATCTTATAAAAGTGAATGTTGCAAATCGTCTTTACGTGTAATTGGAAAAAAAAATACTATTAAGTGGGAAAACAAAAAAAAAACACACCAAAAAGACTCTGATATAAATGTTTAAGCACTATATAAATGTGAGTCATGGTCGCCTGCCAAGTGGTCATGATGCATAGGCCACCTACCTCAACTGAAAAATGAATTGGGTTAGATGACCATTAATGTACCTTCCCGCTTTAACGTTCTATGCTTCTCACTTTAATAATAATAATAATTTATATTGATATATTTATATAATGCTTTTATAAATATAAAGTACTTGTCTCATTCTATAGTCATGAAGATCCTATGAGGTTAGTAAAGCAGTGTTTTGTTGTTGTTGTCATTTTTATCCCCATTTTATAAATGAAAAACCAGAGACCCAAAAAGGTTGGCTAACTTAACCAAGGTTATGTAGCTAATAATAAGTGGAAGTCAGAACTTGGGTCTAGATCTTCTGACTCTGAGCCTTAAGCTCATTCTACTCTACCTCACTGGCCATCTTTGTTGCTGGCCACTTGTCTGTGTCCAGGGTCTCCATACAGCAGTCCTGTTAAAGGCACAGTAGTTTTCAGTGGAATTTCTTTTTAGTGACCTAATGCTTACGGATCCATTTGTGCCTGGGAGTCTAATCGTGAAAGACTTGAGTTATAAATCCAGAACTTGGAGAATGAATTTTCATTTTCCCTTTTTTAATTGCATATCTTCATCAGTTTCCCATTTTGATTTTGTTCACAATGTTACTTTTAATTATCATTTTGTTTTTATTCAGTTGTGTCTGACTCTTTGTGATCCCATGGACCATACTGTCTGTGAAATTTTCTTGGCAAAGATACTGGACTAATCTGCCATTTCCTTTTGCAGTGGATTAAGGAAAACAGAGGTAAAGTGACTTGCCTAGGGTTAGATAGCTACTAAGTGTCTGAGGCCACATTTGAACTCAAGTCTTCCTGATTCCAGGCTCCAGCCACTGAACCACCTAATTGCCTCCTTCAGTTATCATAGTGTAACATCAAATATACCTGTTCAAGCCATCAGATGTCAGAATGAATTGGGTCCCAAGGCTCTACAAATGTCTTTAGGTTGATGTCAAAAGGTAGAAATAGGACTGAATTTCCTAGGACTGGCTTTTATGTTTCTCTCTCTCTTTTTTTTTTCCTTTGGACTTTTTTTTTCCCAGCTGAAGGGCCTGTATTTTCCTCTGGCCATGATTTAAAGGAATTAACTGATGAGCAAAGCCAGGATTACCATGCGGAAGTATTTCAGACATGTTCTGAGGTGAGGTAACCAGCATTGCAAACTTGGAAATAATCATGGCAATTTATCTCCTAGCTTAATTGTATAGATCCAGATCTTGCCTTTCTCCCTGGTGGCTCATGGCATTTTATAAACATGTTGATACTCATCCTGACATCAGTGTGAATAGAGGGTCAGTAGAGCTCTCCCCATTCCATAAAATAGAGAACTGATGGCACTTAGTCATGGATCATCTTGCCTGTAGTCTCCCAGTAAGTTTGTGATAGAATGAGGAGCAGCATTAGATCTTCTGTATTCAGGCTGGTACCAAAGAAAGGTCACTGAACTGGATCTAATCTCCTCCAACTACTAGTGCCTGTCCCTTAACTTGGGTTGTATTAACTTGGTATGTATTTTCTTTAAACTTATGCAGGTACATATTGTCTCTCTGATAGAATGTAATCTACTTAAAGTCAGGGACATTTTCCTTTTTGTTTTTGTTTCTCCAGAGCTTAGCATAATGTTTGCACATAGCAAGCATTTAATAAATTCTTGTCCAGTGATTGATTAGTTGACTGAAGTCAGGAGATAGAGGTTCTAATCCTGATTCTGCCACTAATTTTCTGTATTACCATAAACAACTCATTTAACTGATCTGGATCTTGGTCCTCTTATCTGTATAATTCAGGGGTTAGACTTAATGATTCTGTACTTCCTCCCAGCTCTGAAAGTATACTAGTGTAACTCTTTGCTTCTGGGAACCATAGAGGATAACAAGGTTTGTTTTGACCAAGATATTTTTTTCCACACCAGGACTGCTAATGATGGGGAACATAGTATTTCTTTTTTTTTTTTCTTCAAGAAATTGAGGGGACAAGTGATTTTCTTGGAGTTACGTGGCAAGATAGAAGCAAAGTCAGATAGAGAACCCAGCTCTCTGTAGATACTTTGCCCTTTTGTCTAGTCTTGAGGCTGTCTCAGTGTGCATGACTAACATAGAAAACCATTGAAGGCTTTATAGTAGGAAAGGAGGGGCAGGTCCTTGTTGTTGCTTTGACCTTCAAGAACTTATATCTCTGAGACTTCTTCCTGTTCTATTTGAAGTACAGTCCCCATTCAAGGGCAAGGATTAAGACTCAGAACTCTATGGCCTAGACTTGAAGTAATGGGGCCAATCATTGAAACTATGCCCAGTGGTCTCAAACTCAAATGGAAACAGATCCCTGCAGCTGAATATTAAGTTAGAAAATGACAAATTAACATTATCTATGTTGTATTATATTTTTGTTTATTTTGTTAAACATTTCCCAATTACTTTTTTTTCTAGCGAGGCAGTGGGGTTATGTGACTTGCCCAGGGTCACACAGCTAGTAAGTGTCAAGTGTCTGAGGTCAGGTTTGAACTCAGATACTCCTCACTCCAGGGCTGGTACTCTATCCACTGTGCCACCTAGCTGTACCACCCAATGATATTTTAATGAGTTTGACATCTCTGCCTTGGACAGTTGCCTTCTCCCCACTTGTCTCTCCCAACCGGATTTCTCCAATCTACTGGGGACTGAAGTACCTAGTATTTATTCTGAGTTTGTTTGTTTACCTGATTTATATTCCCTAAGCTGTTTATTTGTATTCTGTAAGTTGTTTATAATGGGGGAGTTGCTTAAAAAACACCCCCTCAGGAAAACAAAGCTAAGAGGTTGTTATCTTTTATTACAGGATAATGTTCTCTTCCCAAAGAGGAATCATGGTATATAGCACAGGGGTTCTTACCTTTTTTGTGTCATGGATCACTTTGACAGTCAATGAAACCTATGAACCCCTTCTCAGAATAATATTGAAATACAGTTATCAAAATTTTTTTTTAAGTTCACAGGCCTCAGGTTAAGAACTCCTGGTGTTAGATAAAGTTAGAATCAGGGTTCAAAATCTCACCTTGGTCACTAACTCTGTTGATTGCTGGGCAAGTCACTTAACCGCTCTCTGTCTCAGTTTTCTATTCTGTAAAATGAGGGGATTGGACTTAATGACCTCTTAGCCATTGGCTCTAAATCCATGACCCATGACATACATGAGATAAGATCTAAAACAGGCCTTCCAGAGAAGGGGAATAAAATCATTCACTCTCCTTCAGAGGGTTAAAGCCCACATCTCAATACACATCTTCTGACCCCTGGGTAGGCAGGTTACAAATAACTTGACAGCTTAGCAGAGAGTGCTTGCCTCACAGAAAAGATGCTGTTCATAAACACACACCTGGACCCATTGCAATAGAATGGGAGAAGGAACATATTGATTCCTTTAATACCATTTCTGAGGAAATCAAATTGTCTTGGATGAATATGTGCACCATGAACTTGTGCAAGATTTCAATTTCCAAATGTAATCAACAGGCAGATTGGAACAGAATGAGTTAGATATTTCATTGTTCAGTTCATGCATGAGAAAATTTGATTTTTGAGAGGAAGACATAGGAGGTGTCTGAATTTACTCAGCCTCTAACAAATATAGCAACTTTGGGACAAACAACAAATGTTGCATGAGAGTTAAGATAATTATTTACAGCACAGGGTGGGAAGAGGAACTTGAGTTAATTCAAGAATGATAAGTGTGGTCATTTGAAAAGCAGAGATAATAATTGATGGGGCTGTTACACACTTTGGCCCTTTATCAAAGAGGCCTCTTCTGTATTTCTGTGTTTTCTTTCTTTTCACGTTTAAGGACTGAAATGGAGGTCCAAGTAACAGCCTGTCCCTTTCCTTTCACAAATAAGATAAGGCTGTGATTATGCCTGCAGCCCCTAGGCTTAAGCTCCTTCTCAAATACAGCTTCAGCTTTGCTGGTGCTGGGTTTGTGTATTAACCAGGCCTCTTGTTTCTTCTCCCTCTGGCTGCCCAGTTTCGAGTGCTTCACCTTTCCTTTGTTTCCCTAAAGATGATAGGCAGGCAGAGAGATCAGATGGGATGCTAAACAGACAGTTGCCCTAGTAGTGACTTGCTTTCATTTGCTTGCCAAAGGACCAAAGCTCAATATTAGGATACATTTCTTTTATGATATATTAATTTCAATTGTTCTTATTACCCCATCCAGTATTCTAGCAGTAATACTCTTGGGTCCTTCCTACCCCAGCTCTGTGACTCTATCAATAGATATCATTGTGATATTACAGCCTCATGAGTCTAGTGGAAAGAAATTAAATTAGATTATTAGAAAATGAGATACTCATTTTTAATAAATTCTAACAAATGTAGGATTTTCCATGAATAAGAAAATTGACCTTAAAAAATAAATTATTTGAGGCAATCTCTTGAAATTAAATGAAGACTGCTTTTGTGGTACAGGCAAGGCACATTGGTTTTTCAGTCAAAACACCTGGGCTCAAACCTCAGCTCTGCTAAATATCCCCTATGTGACCTTTAGGAAGACACCTAATCTCACAGGGCCTTGATTTCCTTATCTGAAAAATGAAGAGTTTAGGCTAAATTGATTGTCTGTGGAGTTCTTTCAATCTCTAAATTTTTGTGCCTATAATCTTTTGGATTGTCCTTTCATAGGAAAGAAGTCCAAATTTTGTTCCAAGTATTTGTCTTAAAGTCTATAAAATGACAAATTATCCTGCAATTTCTTAACAAATAATCCTATAATAAGAGTAACACTATCTATGACGTTGCAGAAAAATTTAAACTCTTCTTGCTCCCTGGAAACAAAACCTATTCAAAAGGAGCCAGTTAGTTAAAATGGAGAGCAAACAGAGTAGCATTATATATTAAGATACAGTAATAATAATGATAATAATAGCTAACATTTATATAGCGATTTAAAATTTACAAAGCATATACAAATACTGTCTCCTGTCTCCTCACATTAACTTTGAGAAGTTCCATTATCTTCATTTTACAGATGAAGGAACTGAGGCATAGCAAGTTTCCCCAGGGTCATGCAGCAGCTAGTATCTGAGGCAAGATTTTAACTTAGGTCTTGCTGACTCCGAGTTCAGCAGTCTATTCACTGCACCACATTGCTGCCATGTATATACTCATATGAGGAAATTACTCATATGAGGAAATCCAGAAACCAGAGCAGGGAAAGCATGGTGGAAAGCACTGGATAAAATTCAATTGAGGGACAAACAGATATGATTTTGTCATCAGAGTATCCTACAGAGCACCTGTCTGAAAGAGGAAATAAACAAGGCATGCAGGAAACAGAGCATAAACCTGGTGCTGGGAAATGACAGTAATTAATGATAGGAGACTTTAATTGCCTAAGCATTTGATAGATCTCTCTCTGCCAAAAGTATTTAATGCTAGTGTAATATACTAATAGTTTCTTAACTCACCTTAATAATATCGTATTTACTTTCAAAAAGTGGAGGAACCAACAAAGGGAAATTTTACTCTAAATATAATTCTCACATAAAAGGAGGAACTGGTTGCTGGGTAGTAATGATGAGAATCTTAATGGAAAGTCGCTGTTCCATTTTAGAATCTGTTTTTTAAAAAAAGAGAGAACCCTACCCCCTGCATAAAGCTAGGAGGTCTACAAATGTCCATTGAACATGTTTTCAGGCTTTTTCTATCAGTTATGCTGCATTTTTTCTTTTTCTTTTTTTGACTATGTGTTTTATGGGGTGGCTCTGGGTGGGGAGGGATTCTGGGGAAAACTTGTGAAGTAGAAAAAGAACACACATCAATAAAAACTTATTTTTTAAAAAAGGGGAAGGAGAAAAGTAAGGCAGAGTGTAACATGCACACTCGATTTGGGAAGCAGACTTTAGAGGATTCAGAGAAAGAAAAGGTAGGATCCTATGAACTAAAACTCTAGAGGGGAAATCTACTTAGAAGAAGTGAGAAGTTCTCAAGAATGGTATTCTGAAGACACAAAGAAAACCAGTTTTGAGAAGCAGGATAAGTGAGATAGAGAAAGAAAGCACCAAGCTACCTTTGGGGGGTTCAACTCCCTAGGCCCAGAAGAATTAAATGCCAAAATATTGAAACAACTGGCTGATATAATTGCCAGGTCCATGTCAGGGATCTCTGAAAGATCCTGCAGAATGAAAGGGGCTGCCAGACTGGAGAAGGGCAAATATCTCAATTGTTTTTTTAAAAAGAAAGAAGTAGCACATTATAAGATAGAGAGTTATACTTCAATTCCTGCCAAAATTCTCAACCACATAATTCAAGGTATGATAAATAAACACCTAGAAAAGGAAAGAGTGGATTCAAAGAGCTAAAAGACTTGACAGGGTTAATAAACTACATCAGGTAACTGCTGTAGATCTAGTTTACTGAAATCTTGGTGAAATACTTGACAAAGTTTCATACCTTTTTAGTGCATGAGATGGGGATATTTGGGCTGCACAATAGTGTAGTTAGGTAGATTCAGAACTGGTTAATTAGCTGGACCTAGTGGTCTATGTCAACTCGGGAGGTGTCTCTAGTGAAGGGCCCTAGGAATCTTTGCTTTTAAGCATTTTTATTAATTACTTAATAAATGGGCAGCTAGGTAGTATGGTGGATAGAGTGCTTTCCTTAGAATCAGGAGTTCAAATCTGATTTTAGACTCTTACTAGCTGTGTGACCCTGGGCAAGTCACTTAACCTTGTTTGCCTCAGTTTCCTCATCTGTACCATAAGCTAGAGAAGGGAATGGCAAACCACTCTAGTAATTTTGCCAAGAAAACCCCCAAATGGGGTCACAGAAAGTCATAGATGACTGAAAAATGACTTAACACACATTAATTACTTGGATGAAGGTATAAATGGCATATTTACCAAATTTGAAGATACCATAAAACTAACTAACATATTGGATGACCGAGTCAGGACAGAGTCAAAACAATCTCAACAGGCTACTTACACTTGAATTGAAATAATTGACTTAACAAGTATAAGATGGGCAGACATGGCTGGATAAGTTTGTCTGGGAAAAAAAAATCTGGGTACTTTAGTGGACTGCAAGATCAATATGAAACAACAATCAGATGTGACAGCCAAAAAAAGCTAATGCCGTCTTGGACTTCAGTAAGAGAAGCATAGCAAGGGAACTATCACCAGGTATACTGGGGTTAATTCTTACTAGTTCATGAAAACAAGTTGTTAACTTATCAGTATGAGCATTTATAATTGACAACTGCTACAAGTCAGGCCTTGATTTATTGTTTTGTTGTTGAGAATTTATTTATGACTTCCCCTGTAGAATTTTAGTCCCTAGTATCTTACCTCACACGTATCTATCGTTTGATTGTCTAGACTTAAGAAAGTAATAGAGAAAATGATAATAAAGCAGATTGAACTTAAAAGTCTTCTATGAGAATACACACACACACACACACACACACACACACATGCAGAGTGAGTCAGTTATTAAACATTTAGGAGCCCACCACTCTGATAGTCTCACTATATATTCTGTCCTGGGCAGACAACCCCTAGAATACTGTTTGGTAAAACGTGCCACATGTTAGGACGAATTAGGATAAACTTGGAGACCAGACCAGGATATTTAAGAATCTAAAGGTTAGACTACATGAGGATTGCTTGAAGAAACTGGGGATATTTATCCTGAAGAAAATGTAAAGGGGACCAATAGCAGCATTCAAGTATTTAAAGGCAGGCCTGTCATGTAGAAGAGTGAACAGGATTAAGAGCTTGTAAGTGGTTGTTGCAGGGAGGCATATTTCATTTAATGTAAAGAAAAAAATTCCATAACAATTAGAGCTATCTAAAAGTTTACTGGACAACCTTTAATGGGTTCTCTTTCACTGGAGATCTCCAAGCAAAGAAAGCTGATCTATACTTATTGGGTAAGTTGTAAAGAGGTTTCTTATTCAAGTACAGATGAATCAGAATCCAGATTCTCTGAGTTGGAAAAGACCTCAAAGGCCATCTATTCCAACCCATGCCTAATCTCCATTACAACACACCCAATGAGTGGTAATCTTTAATTTTATCATCTAGAATTTTCCAGAAATCTAACTAAAGCAACCTCACTGGCCTAGAATTTGCAACTTCCATTATCTTCCTTTTTTTTGAAAATCAGGACATTTGCTATTCTCTAGTGCTACGGTACCTTTTCCATTCCCCATGGCCTAGCCATGGTTCTTTCAGTAACTGAAGAGGTAGTTCATCTGGGCCAAGTGGCTTGAATCTATCAAGGGCAGCTAAGTAATCTTTTACTATCTCATTATTATCTTAGGTATCAACTCCCTATTAGCCATTTTGGTTCTGGCCCTTCCAGTCTAAAGGCCATTCTCCTTGACGGATTAAATGGAAGCAAAATTAAAATGAAGCCCTTCTCTCTGTTGTTAATTGTTATCCTGTCCATCTTGAACTGCTCCTGTGTCCTTCTTTGATTTCCCTGTTTTCCTTAATAAAAACTCAATTTTGTCATCCTTGGCTTTCCTTGACAACTGCTCATTTTGAGCTTTCTCACTCCTGACACAGTTCTTTAAGTACCATACCATACTTTTGAATTAATCCTGTTAGTTATCCTTATTTCCATATTGTATTCATATCTTTTTTAAAAATCCAAGTTTGGGGGGCAGCTAGGTGGCACAATGGATAGAACACCAGCCCTGAAGTCATGTGGACCTGAGTTCAAATCTGGCCTTGGAGCAAAATTGAACTTACTGGCTATGTGACTCTGGGTACCTCACTTAACCCAAATTGCCTTAAAAAAAAATCCAAGTTGGTTGGTGAGTTCTCTGTGCAGCCTTATCAGTCACTTCAGGCAACTCCCATTTTTCCTTTTCATCAGAATTGTTTCCCTTTATGTCTTCATAATATCCTTCTTGAGAGTTTTCCTTCCTGCACTGACTTCCCCTGTAAAGTTCTAGTCTATGGTACCCTACCTCTCCTTCCTCTGAACTCTTAGAAATCTGCTCTCTTAAAATCTGTGGTGTATGTGAGACTGTGGCTATATTTCCTCTCCTTCTGTACCATACACTCTAGGATGGAGTGGCCACTTCCTAAACAGACAGTTACTTCCTGCTGGTAAGAGTCCTATCCAGAATAAACTTCTCCCTTTTCAGTTTTTCAGCTTTCAAGGGATATATTTGTCAATAAGGTAATGCAAGAAATGTAAGTGAGATTCTGGCCTTCTGCTTCCAACCAAACATGCCTTTAGCAGATCACATATTCTATCTATATATTCCTTTCAGGGTCCTAGGGATACCTCTGAGGAGGAATGGGCTTCTTTCTAATGTTCTCACCTCAAGCACCCTTTCTGGTGTGTTGTCTCCAATGTCAATCACCAGCAATTACTGCCCCAGTATCATTTGTCAGTGCCAGTTGATATCTCTTCAGTGTTATCAATACAAGCCCCAGTATCGTTTTGAGTGGTGTACCATCAATTAGCTTTTTTGAAAGGATATTTAAAACAAGAACAAAAGTGTAAACCCATCCCCACCCAGATCCAGAAGGCATGTTCTTTCCTCTATCAACTCAGTCTGCAGGAAGAATAGGCACAGAGTTAAAAGTATTCACCTCACCAATTTCACTTCCAAATTCTACATAGCATCTCAGGCTACCAAGTTGATCCACTCCTGGGTTAGTTCAGTAGGTCAAGGAGGTGACTTCCAGGATTATGCTAGTTTACTGAGTTTAGTGGCCTGCAAGCTTTGGTATGGACTCCCATTACTAGTCCTTTGCCTTTCTGACTTCAAAATCTCACAGGTCATGTACCAAAGGAAAGAATACATTAACAGAAGGGGCCATCTCAGATACTATAATAAACTTTTCTTCGCTGGAGTGAAACCATCACAGTAAGTTATTTTTTAACTAATGAACCTAGTGCCTTTATCTCTTTTTTTTTCCTAGGATTAAATGAGATACTGTATTACTGCTGAGATTTATTCAAACTGTAAAGTTCTATGATTTTGCTATTCTGTACCTTTAAAACCATAAATTGCTCTAGAAATGCAAAGTAACATCATTATTCTAAAAGTTGTTAATATCAGCTAATTTCTGTTTGGAAGTGAAATTGATTCCTTTGCTCCTTCAGGTCATGATGCTAATCCAGAAACACCCTGTCCCCATCATTGCCAAAGTGAATGGTTTAGCCACTGCTGCAGGTTGTCAGCTGGTTGCAAGTTGTGACATTGCCCTTGCAAGTGAAAAATCTCATTTTGCCACTCCTGGTGTGAACATTGGACTCTTTTGCTCCACTCCAGCAGTTGCCCTGGGACGAGCAGTTCCTAAAAAGGTAAATCAGTCTCTTTGAGTTTTTTCTACCTTTAGTGTCCTTGGTAGATTACTTCAGAATTCACTTGACCATAGCCTCAGAAAATTACTGATATTTGAGTGATTTTGCCCACGGCATGGCAGGATTTAACATTATATGGGAACATGGCCTTTTTTGGAAAGTTACCAAGAAGTAGAGAATGTCCAGCTGCTTCCTCCTTGACATCCTCTTGTGCTGCTATGTAACAGGGTAAATTTGTGAAAAGTCACATGTATTCCAGTAAATTTGAAGATTTTTTTTTTCCTATTGGGGGGAGGAACTTTTATTTGAAATAACAGGTCTTACTTTCATAGAACTTAATATCTGCCTATCAGATACAGTAGAACCCCAGCACAGTGCTAGTGTTTGGGGACAGGATTAGTACTCATGTTTGATTAGACTCATTATTGTATGTAGTTTTGTCTCTGGGGATTTGATTTGACTCATGGTAGGACAACTCTATGAAATAAGAAGTCATGTTATAAAAGGGTTCCATCACATCAGGAGTGATGACAGACTTCATCTTTGATTGCCTTTCTCCTTCAAACCATGAATGCCTCCCAAAACTTTCTTAAGAGAAAGCTCTTCCATTTCTTCTGTCTGAGCTTTATGATTTTATCATCATTAAGTCATATTTATTGAGCATCCTTTCATAGGTTTCCAAAGTAGATGATACCAACCCCTGGGGAGCGCTGGAATGATCTAGCGGGACAGTAGTAGCCTCCAGTGCAATTGGGGGACATTGAATAAAAATAAGGGGGTAATGGAAGCAGAAGAAGAGAAAATTAGAAAATTTTGAAAACCCGTTCATACACGTTTCATCAGTTCTGTAATAGAATTAAAATTGTAGTAATTACATTATTTTCCAAATAAACATACAAAATGCAAGTTATCACCAATCAGTAGTCAAGTCTGCTGACAGGTCTTAACAAGCAAGTGTTGGCAGGTGAGCATGCCATGCCATTGTTGGGAAGTCCAGCATGCATTGGCAGGAATGTATGCATGTAATGACTTGTATACAATATGATACTGTATGGTTACATGATGCAACATTGCGTCATCAAAATTTCAATGCAGGTAAAAAAACTCCACAAATTTACAACAAATTATCAAATTTAAGATGCATCATTTCAATTTCAAAACAAATTTATATGATGCAAATTGAAAAAAAAGTTAAAGGGTTAAAGAAAGATTTCCAGGGGACTGCTGAGTAATTTTTTTTTTAAAGGGGACGATAGGCCAAATAAGTTTGGAAACCTCTGGTTTAGATGCATGGTCCTGTACCAAGGTATTGTATCACTGCATTAAGGAATTTCCCTACTAGCTCTTCACTCTATACTGGAAACCTATAAACTGCAGAAGTCCTTAACCTAAGCTCTTTGAACTTGTTCATGGGGGCAGAGGGAAAAGAGAAGTATAGGTGTGGGTGTGTAGATAGATGGATATATGGTAGATAGAGAGATAGATGGACAGATACTATATTTCAATATAATTAGTTTCCTTTGCAGTACTGTGTATTTTATTTTATGCATCTAAAAACATTGTTTTGAGAAGGGGTCCACAGGCCCCACTAGAATGACCATGACACACAAAAAGGCTAAGAACCCCTGCTGTTAAGTGAGAGAAAGTGTCACATATAATAACTTTGAGGGAAAATCGACTACCTAGAATATATTAAAAAATTGCACATGTGCCTGGGGCACAGAAAAAATGAGACCCAAGGGAAATCAAGCCAGCCAGACAGAGTAACTTTGTGAGGCCTTTCTCTCTTTTACATTGTCTCTTCTTGAGCTTCATTAGGAATGTAAGTTTGTGGGAGAACCTGAATGTAAGCACACATACTTGTGGAGACGTGACTGCAAGTAGACAATGACAGTGTTACTGTTGTGCCAGAAATGGTGATGTAATGGTGATCCATTATAAAGATTCATAGAATTTGAGAGCTGGAATGAATAGAACTAGTGAGAATTCAGCAGTTTGATAAAAACAGGTTCAAACTTTTTTTTTTAATCTTTAGAATGGAAATTCCTTGAGATCAGGGACTATTTTAACTTTGTCTTAGTATCTCCATTGGGTCTTATACTTAATTAATAAATATGTACTGAATGAATTCTATCTGCAAGAATAAATTAGATGTATTACACTTTGTACATTTACTTTGACAGTAAAGTATACATTAAAATGTATAGAAGTTGATTATAAAATAGTGCTCATTATTATTTAGAGTAGGGGATGAAATCGTGACTCCTATATACAATAAAAGGCAGATATAATACAGTCCATTTAGGAGAACGGTATTAGCCCCATAGTCTTTGTCCCTGGCATTTGAAAGCAGTACCAAGGTCATCCACTTTAAATCCTTAATAAAACTCCACCCACAATTTTTATCATTTTGTTCCATTCTTTCTCTATGCTAAAATTTGGAATCAAAACTCCTTGTAGTGAAAGATCTGTTAGACATTTGAACATTGCTTTTTCTTTGTTAACTTATAAATTATTTCTTGAAAAGGAAAAAAAAAACAGAAATAAGGAGAAAAAAACTTCAATGTGAAAAAATAGAATAGGCTTCTCATTTCAAAGAAGCCAGCTGATCTGAAGCTTTAAACAACAACAACAACAACAAACCCACCCACATCCACTCTGTGTTATTGTGCAGTGAGACCGTGGGATAAAAGGGATGCTATAGAAACCACGGTGGCTTACCTTCAAAGTAGTGACCTTGTCCAGCTGCTGTTGCTTAAAATGGAATTTGGGACATGGGTAATATTTGTATTGCCTTTCTCAAAGTTCTATCTGTATCAGTACTGGTTGGACTCCCTCTAGGCACCCATGCTATTTGGGTTATTAGCTACAGTTATTTTTTATATTTTTTAATTTAGGGAACCAGTCTTTTCTAATCAACAGTCTAGACCAGTGGTATCAAATGCAAAATAGGAACAGGTCCATGGGGGCTTCATATTGACTTGGAAAACCACAAATTAGCATTATCTATGTTTTATTGTATTTTTTTATGTTAAATTATTTCCCAATTACATTTTAATCTGGTTCAGGCCACACTCAGAAGTGTTGTGGACCATATCCAGCCTGAGCTGTGAGTTTGACACCTCTGATCTGGACAGTATTTTAAAGTGAAGGTAGTGACTTCATTGAACTTTTGATTTAATTCTGCTTTCTCATCCACCAGGTATAGAAAGCTTAACTCACAATAATGGGTTAATACTAAAGAGCCAAAGTGAAGGTACTGATTAAAGGAAACATAGTAAAAGTCTTCCTCCACCCCTTCTTACTTCTACTGCCTTCCCTCTGTTATTTCCTATTTATCCTGGATATAGTTTGCTTGGTATGTATTGTTTGCACGTTGTCTCCTCCATTAGATTGTGAGTTTCTTGAGGACAGGGACTATCTTTTGCATCTTTTTGTATCCTGAGAGCTTAGCACAGTGCTTAGCACATAGTAGGCACTTAACAAATGTTTATTGATTAATTGATTGAAACATAAAGAATGTTAGAATGTAACGTCTTTTCCCTTACTCTGAATTGTGTATCTGACTGTCAACTGGACCCATCTCCCATTTCCCAGTAATAATTAGGTCCATTTATTCAGAAAAGTGGATCCACGAACAAATTAAAACCCAATCAGAAAACACGTCTCAGTGTTTATAGCTCGGTGCATCAGACTTTCTTCAGGTCATACTTACTACATCTAAACTTCACTAGAAAGCAAGCTGCTGCCACCTTCACGCTGTTCAGCACACTATACGCAAGTCGCCAGTGCCCTCTACTGCCCAGAAAGGCAAACCCACTCAGCAACACAAGAGAGGGCAGGACCAGGATATCGTTTAAATGCCAGAAGTTTGGACAGCTGGAGTTCAGGTTCAAGTTCAGGCTGACCCTTCCTGGTGATACTGGAAAGTTTCTCTGATTCATTATTTTGCTCAGTAATTCATCTTTATAGCCTTCCTGAGAAAGTGACCATGGCTGCTCTCAAATGCAACCCACACAAAAATAGGGGTGAGTCACTTGCAGTTAAAAAAAGGCTTTTGTTCGAGGAATTAGAGAAAGCCCTTTGGGTCTCAGCTTCAGACCTAATCCGTGCTTGGACCTAAGTTGGCAGCAGAGAGAACCAATGGGAAAATTGCAGAATCTCCTTTCCCAAGCCATTCATTGATGAGGGATAAAAGTTATTTTCTTCCATCTGTCTAAACTTTTTGTCTGTAAGGCCTATTTCTCCAATGTCATCTAGTATTTTTTAAAAATAATAACTAACATCTATATAGTGCTTTAATCTTGCAATTTGATCTTATTATCTCATTCAATCCTCACATCTACCCTGTTATGTAGGTGCTATTATAATCTCCATTTCACAGATAAGGAAACTGAGGGTAAGAGAATAAATAACTTGCCCCAGGTCACATAGCCAGTAAATGTCTGAGGCCAGATTAGAATTTAGTTCTTCCTGATTCCAAGTCTGGCATTCTAATCACTACACCACCTAGCTGCCACTATAGTCTAATTAAGAAAAAAAAAAAAAAAAACTTAAACCTTCAAAGTTGTCAGAATCGATTTTTTTAGGTCCAGTCCTTTGATTTCTTTTTAGTCACTTTTCAGTAGTGTGCCTACTCTTCATGACCCCATTTGGCGTTTTCTTGGCAAAGATCCTGGAGTAGTTTGCCATTTTCTTCTCCAGCTCATTTTACAGATGAGGAAACTAAGGTTAAGTGACCTGCCCAGAGTCACACAGCTGGTGAGTGTCTAAGGTCAGATTTGAACTCAAGAAGAAGTCTTCCTCCTGACAACTGTTGGAGGGAATATGGGAAAGTTGAGACACTAATACACTGTTGGTGGAGTTGTGAACTGGTTCAACCATTATGTAGAGCAATTTGGAACTACACCCAAATATTTATTGCAGTTCTTTTCTGGTAGCAAAGAATTAGAAATTGAGGAGATGCCCATCAGTTGAGGAATGGCTGAACAATTTGTGGC